GAAGAAGAAGAAGAAACCCAATTCACTCATTCTCTCTTCTAGATTTGGGTCCCAAGCTGGCTGGCTTTCCTAGTCTTCATGAGACACCTCTGTAATTCTTAGTCATTTCCCCCTTCATTTACTTCAATTAGCCCTAATGAGCTTTCTGTCACTCACCATAAGTGTTTAAAATACCATTCTTATGAAGAGATGCTCCGCCTCATTCATAAGAAGATAAATGAACATTAAAGTTACACTGAGATACCATTTATCACTTATCAGGTGAGCAAATAAAAAGAAATAGTAAAGTCTAACAACTTTGTTGCTAGGGCTGTGGGAAAGGGGCATGACCGCCAGGCCTAGTGTGAGTGGGAAAGCTCTTAGTTCCTGCCAAGAGAAGGCAAGCTGGCACCCTCTCTGTCAACCCTGAGTAGGTGCTTGCCCTTCAGCCTAGCAATCCAGTGCTGGGATGTTATGCTACAGGTGTGCTATCTGTGGGGGAAGTGGTATAGGTATGAGGTCTTTTGTTGGAGCATCATTTAGTGGTGAAAGCATTTACCTTGTACAATCACTAGATGCATCTTTCTAAGGGACATGACAACTGTCACAATTAAGAAAGTTCTCTATATTCTGATATGGAAAGAACTCAGGGTGGGGCGGGGGGCGGGGAGAGGGAGAATTGCTGAGTATTGGTGGCTCACACCTGTAACCCAGTTATGCAGGAGGCTGAGATCTGAGGATCATGGTTTGTAGCCAGCCGGAATAGGAAAGTCTGTGAGACTCCTATCTCCAATGAACCACCAGAAAGCCGGAAGTACAGCTGTGGCTCAAGTGGTAGAGCACCAGCCTTGAGCAAAAAAAGCTCAGGGACAATGCCCAGCTTCTGAGTTCAAGCCCCAGGACTGGCACACACATACACACATACACACACACACAGAGAGAGAGAAAAAATTAAGCCCATAGTATTGTACATAGCATGCTACCTTTCGTATAAAAAAGGAAGCAGACAAGAATATTCCTAGTGTCTGCTACTTAAATAAGTATAACTAGTGAAGAGAACATGAAAAAAGAACTAATAAACAAGCAAACATGTTGACTTCTAGTGGGTGGAGGTAAAGGCCAGTATGGGAGGTGCATTTCTCAATGATAACCTTTTGTATCATTTTGATTTTTGAAAACATGAATGTGAACTGAGTTCTGATGGCTCACACCTGTCATCCTAGCTACTCAGGATGCTGAGACCTGGAGGATCTCAGTTCAAAACCAGCCAAACAACAGCCGGGCGCTGGTGGCTCACGCCTGTAATCCTAGCTACTCAGGAGGCTGAGATCTGAGGAT